CATTTATTTCATCTACTTATCAAATAAAATGAGCTCAATAAGGAGGTATTAGTTTTACAATGCAATCCTAGTATTTATACATTTTCATTTCAAATCTCTACACTTTTCCAAATTTAAAATTTGAGATGTTTTTCCTGTTGGACTTTATAGCATTGTAAATATCTCAGAAAAAAAACGACAGTAGTTAGATTATTTACTTTTCTTTTCTTACCTTTTTTATTTTTTCATTATGTTAAAACAGGGAACAGAAAATGGCTCAACACTGTGCTAAATGACTATGTCACAGTTTTACTGCCATTTGTACAAACTCAGATTATAGATGGTGTAACACCTTAAAGGAATGTATTCATCCATCATTGTCTACACTAGCCTACCCATTTATTCTAAGGCATTAGCATGATTGCAGTCCCAGATAGGACATGCATGGTGGATCACTGTCATTTGTCCCACCATGAAAAAAGAAATCTAGCCTATGTTGGATATATTTAATGATCTTTATTTACTTAATGCAATTGATGGCAAAGAGAAGGTGATAATATTTTGTAGAAACTATGAAGGAAGGCAAATACTGCTTGTACTTGGAAAATAATATTGTGTAGATTATACATTCTATGGAGTATTTGTGTATAAGTATGGTCAATTAAATTGGATTAAAAGCTGATTGAATTAATTATAATCAAGTCCATCTCCATATCCTGATACATAGCCAAATGCATTGCCATTTCCAATGCATAAACTAGATAGCTCATGCAGGATGGAGACACTTTTAATAATCCACAGGCTAGCGAATAAAATTTATTTTTTTCATTTATCAAATAGTTTAGGTGGGAAGTTACCAAGTAACATTGGAATTAACACTGCATTCCTTCCATAGCCAAAAACTATAGTGTGAAACCAGAGTTCACTATTAAACAAATTGGGACCGGCGTTGTTTAATTGGATTTTTCTGTGTGTAAAAATGCTTTATCACCACTGGATTTAAATCTAAATTTCACATGAATATCCTATGGTAGATGTGAAAGTAACATTGCATATGTTTGTTTGTTGTTTATGTTTACATTTCTTTTCTGTATTCTATTTAACTTCAATACAGTCTCATTTAAAATGTGGGATATTGGTTGCTGGCTGCAGCCCTTTGACTATTGATGCAGAAATAACATGGCTGTTATGAAAAGCCTCTGCTTTTTTTTCTAGATGCAGAACAAACCATTCAAAGAATTGATTTTTATTGCATTTGAGGACAAGGGAAAAACCTGTATGTCCTTATTCTAACAATAAAGAAAGAATGAATAAAAATAAAACCAGTTTATTACTTTCAAATTGCTTCTAAATTCCTAACAAAATAATAATTTATTTCGTCCAACTGTTCCATGAACATAAATTTACTTGCCTTGCTGTAAGGGTGGAACTTGAACAAAAGCTGGGGTTCAGAGAGCTGATATTATTTTATTGAAGAAGAGTAAACTTTTTTTTTTTTTTTTTTTTCTTTTTCTTTTTGCTGCCTTGCAGAGGTTGGAGAACCAGCAGATATGCACACTGGCTGTCTCTGTGGCAATGGGTGTTGTCAACCAACCAAGAGCATTTTTTTTGTGAGCTACTGTAACCTGGAACAGCCGAGAGTTTTCATCAATAAAGGATTTCAATTAAACATTTTGCACTTTATAATAACTTTGTCCAATTTAAATGTGTCACTGAATGTAAACCTGTATGTGTGTCTGGAAACATGTCATGTGTGCAGGAAAGTTCTGTACATAAAACTGATCTGTTTGAATGGTAAAGTGTTGAGTCAACTGTTGTAAACTGGTTCCATAAAAATGAACTGCAGTAAATCCAACAATTAAGCTGGAGAATTTAGTAGTACGAACTGTGATACTAATACTTAGCATCATGGTTCATTTTTTATTTTCATCCATTTTTGTTTATATTCGGACTCATGCTAAAATATTTTACCAACATAAAATCACAAATGTGTTAATAAGAATGTATGCTTCTGGGACTCGTCTGATTGTTTTACATTTGTCTAATTGAATGCAGAAACAAATAAAAATAAAAAATAAATGCAAATTTGGTTGTTTGGAAAGATTACATCAAATTTTTGATGTTTTTTTAACTGTGCAGGGTTCACAGTACACTGTGGTGCGTTATTTCCATCGAAGGTAAAGTGTTTTCTGCTGCAGGAATATTTAAGTGCAGCTTTTTTGGGACATGATTGTTAAAGAAGCACTCTGTTTGACCTGTCATGTATAAATGAAAGGAGTTCAAATGCAGTGCATGCGTGCATTTCCACAGCTGTAGCGTTTTAGTGACTCTCTGAAGCTGCAAACCATCTCAGAGGAACATTTCTGTCAGCTGTTATTGCTGACAGGAAGTGGTTTAAGGAGGTTTAGGAGGACATTAGGCATTAAATTAAAGCAGATCCAATCTGTTTTTTCTTCTTTTTTTTTGGATATAATGCTTAGTTTTCTCATAAATACGGTTTCTTCTGTGGTTTATCTAGTGCTGAATAGACTAACAGAGGGATTATAGCAGTTTGCTGTTAGGAGCGTACTGATTTGTGGAGGCAGCAATGTTGCTTAATTCAGATGTAATTAGTGCAGCAGAACAGCCGACTGTAAGTAACATTTATTCAGCTGGCGTCCATCAGGCGCTGAACTTCTCTACCCCTCACATAAAACCCAAAACCTTTTCACGAGGGTTATTCCCTCTGACAACAGCAGCCAAATAATTTCACTGCACGCTGAGGCTCCACCAAAAGCGATTGGGAAGTAATTTTGGTCAGAGAAAATCAGCACATTAGACGATAATGCTCTTCTCGGGGAGTAAATGTTATTGGTATCAACAGCAGAGTGGCATGTTGAGATAATGCCATGAAAAAGAGAAAGAGAGAAAGATGAAAGATTGACAGGGAGGGTAGAATAAGGACAAAATCCAGCAGAATTAGGTGAAGGCAGGTTACAAGATTACCATCAGTTTATGAAAGAGAGCCACACATATTCATTCAAGTCAAATCTCACCTTGATGGTGGCTTCTTTGCTTTAGAGACTATGAAACATCACAGAAATATCTTTTTTTTCAGCCTATAAACAGATCTAGTCTGACTTAAATTGAGATGTAATGAAAAGGAATAATATGCCCTGAGGTTTGATATATTTGACATGAAATCCAATAACTGACTGAACCCTATGAAGTCAGCTTTAGCAGCAGAGGAAACAACATTTTACTATGAGGCATTATTTGCTCATAGTCCCTGCCAATTACTATAACCTGCTGAAACATCCACTCTCTGCTTTAACCTGTTTGGGCTTTAAAGGCTATAAAAGTGGATTTTAGAACATTACCCTCAAAGCTTTTTACAGAGTTTTCTAGATCCACGGCATCTACAGAGTTAGAATGACTAGACAGAAAAACAGGACGGGTTATTGAAGGGTATGAGGGCACACAAAACACATTTGGAAGCAAGAAAAATTGCAAAAATGTGCGTATTTATGATTTAGAAAAGCAGAGGCTGCAATAATGCTGTCCCATTTCGTTGTCCACTTTCTGAAAGCAAAAACCATCGATGCAAAAGACTTTGCCCAAATTCAGAGACATGCTATAGTGTGAAAAAGGCTCAACTTACTGTTTTTGACAAGCTCATTTTTTTTGAAGAAGCCAAAACTATAAAATCTAAAAGTTGAGTACATCCATTTCATTTTTTATAGTGCAGCCGTGATAAAGGTAAGCAGATAATGATAATGTAAAATGTTAGAAGTCAGTAGTCTAAGTGAGAAGCCCACTCAACATTTTATTAGTCAATACTGTATAATGCTGAAGAGGATGATCTACACTTGAAAAAAAATCTAAATCTAGATAAGTAATTTTTTCTTAAAATAAGTGCATTTGTTCTTGAATTGAGGAGGTAAAAGAGACATTTGCCAATAGAACAAGACGATTTACATTTGAAATAAGAAAACACAATTATATTGTCTTATTTCAAGTGCATTTTATCTAAATATCTTGTTTTAAGAATAAAAAAGCTCGTTCCTTTGGCAGATCATCTCATTAACCTACTCAAATGAATGGTAATTACACTTAATTTAAGACATTTTTGCTTATTTGTAGATAGTTTTTGCAGTGTAAGTATAGTTTTAATCCCTTAATGCTGCTTGAGCTAGGTTGGTTAAATCACTAATTAATAAATATTTTTCATCTGTGAAAAATAAAGATCTTTTCAAGGTTTCTAACTACTACTTTTTCAAGTGTTTTAATTCATGCAGGCAAAATCTACTCAACACGTAAATGAATACTGCTGCTCAGGAGAGAACTCAGCCAAATATGTATTAACATCCTAAAATTCCTGGCAGTTCAAGACATCAGGCAGAATATTGCTGTTAAAACAGGTGTTAAAATATGGAGGTTGAATTCCCCTGAGTGATATTTAATTGTGATGTTTTCATGGAGATAAAATAACATGCGACTGTCCTTATGAACGACTTCTGAGGTAAAATATCTTAGATTTTTAGTAAAGAAAAGGACTCCAGAGTTGCCCTGTGGTGTTAAATGCTACTCTAAGCAAGTTGGGGATAGATATGCAGATGGATTAATAAAGCAGATAGAGTTTAGCAGTAAGGTGCTGCTAGAACCACATTATGAGTTAGAGACAGAACAACAAAGATCCCTTGTTTAAAAGTCAAGTCGCATTTCTTGAATTATGCCAGCAGAGTGTTTAGTATGCTCCAAGTGTCACAAATGAGCACCTGTGTTAACAGCTTAGCAGCCTCATAAATCAGTCAGTGTTTTACATTTAATTATGCTGCTGTTCATGTTAAGTCTCCTAAAACTGGCTTAAATTGAGCAAAGTATTCAAGACTTTTAAAGACTTGAATAAACCAGACAGAATCTGCATAAATCAAAGAAACCTCATAAATTAGGCGAGATCCTTCAGTGGATGAACAAAAAGCTGAATGAACGGAATAAAAACAACAGGTACAGGGGATAGATATGCAGAGTTTATGGCTTACCATAGACATAGAGGACATAGTCGTCGAAAGACTCGCCCAGCGGGTTGGACGCCATACAGCGGTAGGTCCCGTTGTAGGACTTGTTCAGATTCTCGATGTAGAGGTCCCCTCCGATGATTACCGCATGGGACGGAAAATCATCGTCCACCTTCAGCCAATTCACCCTCTGTGGTCTGAAATGAGAACATCATAAAATACATTAGGATCAGCTGCTGCTTTCAGTTCATTACCTTTGAAGGTACTAGATTATAGGGATGTCAAAGTCCATCCTCCAACTTTGAATGCATCCCTGAATGAAAAGAGCAAAACCCTCAATCTGCATGTTCTTTAGCTTTGTAGAGGCCTGTGTTTAAGTTAATAAATGTTGCAAATGGAAACAGGGTGTGAAAGTTGAAAAGGCCACTTTCCATGCAAAAACATGTCTCACACTATCCAACGTGTGCTTTTGGAGACAGGGAAAGCTGGTTACACAGATGCCAAAGTGGTAAATTCAAAATAGACCGCATCCTTTTACTCTATATCACAGACGATCAATTTATGACTTACTTGATCAGAATACTGTATTATTGTTTATTTACAGGTGCAGGGAAAAACGCAGCATTGCTTTTATTTTCCTAAGAAACAGTTAATTAACCCTCTTAATTTGAGACACTTTTTAGAACAAAACCATTCTTTATAATTATCAATAGGTCCCAGGTATTATAGGCAGCATCGTTAATATGAACAGTCCAAACATCACATTTTGAACGGTTGTGGAAGTTTCCATTTATAATAATTCCTCTTATTTTTCATGCCTATAATGTGGCTATCAATATCCCAACTGCAAATCTATTTCTTCCTCTGTAAAACTTTGCTTTTTTTTCCCCTTTTCCTCTCCATACATAGTTATCATTTTAACCATGAAACACCATTGGTCAGCTGGCTCATTTAAATGTATTTTAAAAGTCATGTTGTCCTCTGCCATTTATGGGTAAATGCAGCGCTGGGATGAAATGTCCTCTTCCCTCGACTAAGGACATTTCATCCCAGCATGTCCTGAGCCCGTAACATCATCAGTGACCCCTCCCACTCCCACCATGGACTCCCTGCTGCCCTCTGGAAAGAGGCTTTGCAGCATCAGCTGTAGACCCAGCAGGTTCTGCAACAGCATTTTTCCCCGCTGCCATCAGACTGTTGAACTTTTGAACTCTGCATCAAACTTCAGACATTATTTTGCACCACCAATGTGGCTGAAACTTTTATAATCCTTCTAAATAAGAAACAACTGAATGCTCTACAGCATTTTGCACCATATTTATTTTGCCCTGCACTGAGCTTTTCCATATTAATGACCTTTTACACTAATATTTTTTAAACTGGTTTTCTTTTTTCTCCCATACTGTTTACATGATGATCAACGCTGCATTTTATAACGGTAATGTTCATTTCACTGTTGTAAACTGCTCTTTTCAATCATCAGTGTATACAAAATGACAATACAGTTTGCCTAAGTCTAAATGTGTGGAGGGAAGAACAAAGGGCGAACATTGTTATCAAATGTTGAGATGGAGCTGTGATCTATAAATGAAAATTGCATGCTACGAAGTTTGTACATAGCTTTATAATTCCAATTTTTTGTGTGGATTCCACATAATGTTTTATAAATGAGGCCTTTTTGTAATGCGGCCTGCATTTGATGTAGAGATGTTTGGGAAGAAATGGATCTAAAAGTGGGAGGGTAGCCCTGGAGGACTGGACTTGGGCTCCCTTGCTTTTATAAGGTTCACTACAGTCATTTTTAAAAACTTAACAACTTATTTAAATTTCAACTTTAAAACTTCAGTCTTGATTACTGTAAAAATGGGTCATTTATGATGCCACTATAAAAGAGGGTTCCTTTTATTCTGCCACCTCAGATCTATGCCCCTTACTACAAATCACACTAGATACTAGTTGGAACTATATGAAAAAATTATCCTGTTCAAAAAGGACTACTCTTGCAAAACACAAGCTGTGGAGCTACATTCCCTATCCCCCTTTCATATGGTAGCATATCTGGCTTTTCTTTTAATGGTAGAACTGCATGATGCCCTTGGCAAAGAAAAAAAAAACTGTCTAGAGATGCAGTCCTCTGAATTTAACTGTAGAATACCAAATTTGACCACCAGATGAGGTCGCCTCCCACTGATTTTTTTTTAAGCAGGTTCAAAAAGCAGATACAGTGCACCACTTGAAACTTGGCTTATACACTGCCAAAAATGAAATCTCTGTCATTTTTTTCTTAAAATAAGTTAATTTTTACTTGAACTGAGGAGGTAAGTGAGATACTTTGCCAATGGAACAAGACAATTTACATTTAAAATAAGAAAAAACAATTTCATTTTCTTATTTCAAGTGTATATTATATAATTATTATATTTTAAGAGTCAAAAGACTCATTCCTTTGGCAAATAAACTTATTTAACTGCTCAAATTGAGGCAAAATACACCTAATTTAAGAATTTATTACTTATATCTAGATCGTTTTTTTGCAGTATACTGTAAATCAGCGGTCCCCAACCACCGGGCCGCGGACCGGTACCGGTCCGTCAGTCATTTGGTACCGGGCCGCACAGGAAAAAAAAAAAATATATATATATATATATATATATATATATATATATATATATATATATATATATATATATATAATTTATCAACGATCAGAGTCTGAGTGATGTTTTATTTAGAAAAATAAAAAAAAAATTGGGGTATTCTCTCCCAATTACATCATTCGGTGCATCTGTGCCTCTTGACACAGGTTAATTAAGGTCAAGACGCATCCTATCTATAACATCCTATCTTTGTGAAGCGGGATTTTCTGCAGTTACAGCGACCAAAACAAAGCTACAAAGCAGACTGGACATCAGGAGCGCACTTTGTGTGTCATTGTCTCCGATTACGCCTAGATGGGACCGGCTTGTTTCACAGAAACAAGCTCAGGACTCCAACTAATTCAACATAATGGTGAGTTTTATTTTTATGCTGTTTCTATTTGATTTTTTGCCAGTCGTATAATTTTATTTAATAGTATTTTAGTATTTAACCCCCCAAAAAAAGGTTGGGGAACGCTGCTGTAGATGATGTATCAAAATAGATTTTTTTTAAATATTTTAAATGACCTTTAGCATGTTTTAGTCAGAGCCTAATAGTTACTGACATCATGGAAATCTAATTCAGTCTTTGTGTAAAATGAATGGAAATAATTGCAAGCGCCTTTGTCTTGGAATTGGCGGTTGCGTGCGTTTTATGTTTTTACTCGCGTAGGTTGGTAACTACTAAGCATCAGGCTTTGTTCTTGTCTCTTCTTGAATAGCAGGGTGGTAAACTCTATTTCTATGACAATAAGCTCAGAGTGCCCAGAGTGGCAGAGGTTTAGGGAGGGGGAGTGGGAGAAAAAACACCTCCATTTGGCTACGACAGCTTCCAACGACCACTGCCAGCCACCGTTATTTCCCCTGAGCGTGCGCTGATGGCCTCTCTTGTTGAATTTTGTTGCTGTGTTTTAAGTTGCTTCCTTCCCTTTAAAAGAATATTTCGTGGGAATCAGAAAAAAAAAAGAACAAAGAAAGAAAACAAAGCAGAAAAATGCAGAAGCTAGACTCTAAAACAAGAAAATCCAAGGGGTGTTTAATGGGCATGGTTAGCCAGCAGTAGAAGGGGAGAGTAAAGAATAAATAAAAGTATGACTACTTTCCTTTAAGATGGAGAGAAAGACATAATCTATAAAATTCTATAGGTAGACCGGATTCTGTGAGAGAAGGTAAAATAAATTCAAGGGAGGTTGATAGACAGAGATAGACCAAAGAGGTAAGATGGGAAGCAAGGAGAGAGGAAGGGCAGGCGTCTGGAATACAAATGGCTGCCTGCAGCCGGGGCCCCGTTCCGCTATCTGCTGGTAAGGACTACACAACTCTCAGCAGCTCTAATGAAAATGACTTCCAATTCCCGGCTCAGTGTATTGATTGTGTTTTCATCTTTATAAAATGAATACAGGGAGTGAGCTTGTCTCTATGCCAAGTGTGGAAACTGTGGGGGTCTGGTGGGGAGGGGACACAGAGGATTTGATCTGTGTTATGTCTCTGTGTGTTCCTGTTATGTCCATTTAAACAGATCATAGAATAAAAACGGAACCTGCAAAAGGGAACCTGACAACACTACATTAAGATGTCTTTCAGGGCAAGATTCTGCAGAAATCTATTTTACTAATTCCTGTATTGGAAATCCTTTTTTTTTTCCCTTAGAGAAATGTACATAGTCCCAGAGTAAAAGCAATGTTGTAAATTAATAAACAGTTTAAACATTGAAATCTAATAAAAACATTGACACACCCACTGCCTAATATTTTGGCAGTTTTCACATCTCTGTTTTGGTTTATTTTCTGCAATCCACTCTTCCTGAAAACAATCCTTTATTATCTTAGTTGTTTGCTTCGGGGCACCTTTGTGTTGAAAGATGAACTTCTGCTTTAGTCCTGAGTTCTGCACACTCTGGAGCAATGTTTTTGTTTTAAAGAATCTGTAATAAGAACCAGTTTCAGTGTCTTTGGACAAGCCAACCAACATTCCCACAGCATAATGCTGCCACCGCAGGGGGTGTGGCCTGTAAATAATGCAGGTAGTTCAAGTGAAAAGTTCTGTTCTGGTTTTATTATAGAATTTCAGATTTTACAGGATGCAAGGTGATTTAATTGGAAGCACTGTTGCCTTGTAGCACGAATACATGGCTATTTCCAGATAATGAAGCTTTCTCCTTCAACCCAAACAGATGAGCATTTAGTTAAATGTGTTTCTTTATTTTGCAATTAGGCAAGAGTGTGTGTACATGTTGTCTATCCTGTGTCTCTGTGAGGGACTGATGAAGTGTCCAGGATGTACATTGCCATCTCATTGAATGACCTCCAGACTAAGGCACTGGTCAAAGTCCCATCGCCTAGGCAACGATGCAAAAACAAGCGAGTATAGATAACAGATAGAAAGATGGATCAATGGATTTCATATGCAGGCTTTCACCCATTCAAGATTTGAGTACTGAAGCATGAGTGCTGAACCCTGTTAAACTTATTGCAGGCAAAGAAAAGCTCAGCAACAGCTAACAGTACACCAACCAACAAAGTGATTTAATCAGTAGATACATTTTTTTTTTTCTTTTATTATGTTTTCTTTCTATAGAAAGGCTGAAACCTCCAATATTTACAGGGAAGTTTAGCAAATAACAAGGAAACATCCTGGAGTAGATGTGATAACAATGACTATCGGATGACAGACAGCAAAAAGAAATCAGAAGAAAAACTTTTTAGCAAGAACATATGGTGCAAAAGTGTTTTAATGGTTTTACAAATACGTCTTTCAGTGTTTTTACAATACAGCCATGTCTGAATGATCAATGAGGTCCCTGAGGCAGGGAGGGGGTCTTAATTTGATTTGAGGGGGCGTTCTAGGGTAATACTTGTGATAGTTTTATTAATAATATCTGATATGGACCATTTTGTTTTGTCCTCTGGCCAGTTACAATCGCTGATTTTACATTATGTGTCCAAAAAAAGTCTATACCAGTCTTATATTTCCAACAGTCTCATTGCAAACTATGAAGAACCCTGAGGTCTAAAATATTTCCACAAAGAGTATTGAGTTTCTTGCTTCTTTCTGGGAACAAGAAGTCAGTCTCCTTTCCTCCTTTGTCCATTTTGAGGACAAAACCAATCTTTTTTATCAATGCTGGAGATTTATTGTTGCTCTTAAACTGATGGAATCTTGGGCTTTTTATGTTTCTGGTATCTTAATTTTCTGAATGAGAGCTTTCTTTTTCTTTTTGATATGTCTGCTTTGCATTTTTCTTCTGATGCCTCTTCATTAAATAACGACTAATTGTAAAAAGGCCAGTCCAGCTCATACTGTTTTTTTTTTTTAGTTCTTTCAGACAAGTTGTTTCTCACTGGCTGTCAGTCATCGTCAGGTTTCACCACAAATTGTCTAGGCTGCCCACTGCAGATAGACATTAACACAGACATCCGGAGTGGTGGAAGTTTCCTTAAGTGCAGTACGTTAATGATGAAGTGAGTAAACAGCTTTAGATAGTTCTGGTTAATGTTACTGTGTTTTAATGTTACGTAAAATCCATATATTGATGTTAATGATTATAGCCACCCTTTTTTGCCAGCTAAAATGCTATATAAGCTTACTTTGGTGTGTCAATTGAGGCTGATTTCTAAACAATGGTGTAAATGGACCTGTTAGCTTCTGTATGTAACCCCATTGAGCTAAACTGTATTTGCTATCCCACTTAGGGCATTTTTGGAGCCTTTTTCCCCAGTTTATTAATATTGTGTGAGAGTTGTCAACTTATATATTTTCCATCTGCATTTATATGCATGGCTTGTGTTTATATATGCTGGTGCTGAATGTGAGTAAGCTTATGGTTATTGTGAATACTGGTAATCAGTTATGTTTTTTTATTTCTTGTTGCAGAACCACATATCTGTACTTTGTAAACTTCTACATAAAAATCCATCATCCAACTTTATCTGTATCTGTTTCTTACTGGACAACCGCAGCATGCCTTAACTTCAGCTAATCAGCATAACTCAAACGGGTGAGGGGTTACCAGGCAACCGTTCAGTATGGAAGAGAACTCCATATAGCTAACCGTATTTTTCACTAATATATGACAGCTGTGTTGCTGTTTATCGAACCAAAAAATGGTGGATGACCATTATGGGCCAAAATTTACAAGCTGTCATTTAGTTAAACGTTTCCAGAAACTTTTAAAACAACTTCAGCAAATGGTTTTAATTTACCTTTTTTTCTCCATACAGATTTTCTTTCAGTGCACCTAACAGTTAGACACCTTAAGTTAATATTTACAACTACATCTTCTGATTGTTTTGCTCTGCCATAATTTGAACCGCCCTGTCAATTAATTACCACAACTAAAGCAAATGCTGCCAGCTATATTGATGCTGGAAAAGTCCAGTGGGACTTTTGCCCAAGGCTCTCTGTGTTTTACTCTTCCCCTGATCACTCTAATGGCTTCATTTGCACTCCATTACATCTCATATCAAAGAAACCTGTCATCCGAACAAACCAACACCTGTGTTCGAAAGTGATACATATGAAATGGCAGCCTAATGAGAGACGGGCGGGAGCTTTCAGATGATACCGGCCGACATTTGCAGAAATCAATTAGCACTAATAAAGGCTGCTGTACCTTTTCAGCACGGAGGGAAATGACTTGAATCCAACTTTGTCTACTATCAGCGACTATTTAAATGAATACAAAAACTAACCTAATTAATACAATAAGATCCAAAGTGCAACTTTTTCTCTTCTCCTTTTTGCCCTATATCTCTGCTTTAGGACAATCTAACAGACACGCAATTCATTGTGCATATTCATGTTGAAACTATTATTTCAGTAAATTTGCCCAAATTTGCCAAGAAATGAAATTATATGAAAACTGAAGCTTCTGAATGCTTTGCAGGCTTTCAAAGTTTTTGTTCATAAATGACATATTGGTTAAACCTCCACTGGACAGGGTCACATTAGTGTAAAGATGGACAAAAATACTTTAAAATAAGCAGAGAAATGCAGTGTTACAGTCAAACAGGCAGTTTAAAGGTAGGCATTATAGCCAGCACATGATAGATTCTCTCTCAGTAGACCCACAGGAACAGTGCAAGTATTTTATCTCCTTTATGAGCTGCTACAGATACTGTACATACTGAGCAGCTGTGTGGTGAGTAATTTAATATTAACTGCTTCCCATAAAGAGAGGAAAAAATATAAATTACATCCAGAGTCAGAGAATGATACAGCAATAGCACAGGGAAGAATGTCAGAGAAATAACTCAAGGTAAAAGAGAGAAAACTTTTTCTACAATTATTCACGGAAAATCTTTATTTTATGGCGTCATTTTTACTTAAACGGCTGCTGCCTTGAGGTTTCTCAGATGAAAAGAAAAACGTTTCCGCACACCCTGTGCTGGCATTGAGTTTAACAAGGAATAGAAAAATATGGCTTAATAAGAAACTTTCAACTTGAAAGATTCATGCAGTCTGATACAATTTGGCTGGGAGTTATTTTAACATTATTATAACATCAATGTGCTTAGTAATTTATGATGCATTATACTACCTTCAGTGTTCTCAACAGGGGATACCACTTAAATGGTTTTCAACTGTTTCTATGCTGATGATGATGTCAAGAGGTGGTGCTGATGGGCCTGGGTGGGTGGGTGGGTGGATGGATGGATGGATGGATGGATACATCGATAAATGGATGGACAGATGCATGGATGAATGGATGGATGGATGGATGGATGGACAGATGCATGGATGAATGAATGGATGGATGGATGGATGGATGGATGGATGGATGGATGGATGGATGGACAGATGCATGGATGAATATATGGATGGATGGATGGATGGATGGATGGATGGATGGATGGATGGACAGATGCATGGATGAATATATGGATGGATGGATGGATGGATGGATGGACAGATGGACAGATGCATGGATGAATACATGGATGGATGGATGGATGGATGGATGGATGGATGGACAGATGCATGGATGAATATATGGATGGATGGATGGATGATGGATGGACGGATGGACAGATGCATGGATGGATGGACAGATGCATGGATGGATGGATGGACAGATGCATGGATGGATGGATGGATGGATCCATGGATCCATGGATGATGGATGGACAGATGGACAGATGCATGGATGAATATATGGATGGATGGATGAATGGATGGATGGATAATGGATGGATGGACGGATGGATGGATACATGGATGGATGAATGGACGGATGGATGAATGGACACGTGGATGGATAGATGGATGGATGGATGGAAGGTTTAATGGATACTTTGATAAATTGATGGATAGATGGATGAATGGACACATAGATGGATGGATGGATGGATGGATGGATGGATAGATGGATAAATGGATGGATGGATGGACAGATGCATGGCTGAATACATGGATGGATGGACGGATGGATGGCTAGATGGATAAATGGATGGATGGATGATGGATGGACAGATGGACAGATGCATGGATGAATATATGGGTGGATGGATGGATGAATGGATCAAATGAAGTGATCAAGTTCTTCTCCATTTGACTTAAACATAACACTACGTTCAATTTGTGTTTTTTCAGATGTTGAATGTGTAAAAAAAAAGAAATTTTTTATGCATTTTTTTTAAAGGCAAGGGCAAACTTGCTACCCTGAGATGAAGAAATGTGATGTAGGATGTGAATAAACATTTGTGTTGCCATCAGTGAAGAGGTTTGGTCTGCTTCTATTCCCTATGGTTGTGTTTGACTGGTTGAAAAATGTGTTTGATTGTGTCTTACTGGGGTTTGCCTTTCGCTTTACACGTCAGCTCCAGGTTTTCGCCTTCTCTTGTCAAGCCCTGTGGAAATCCCACCATGATCTTTACCTCTGGTTTGTCTGAAATGATGAGAGGAAAAAGAAAATGGAGAATAAAACAACCATCAACTGAAGAAAACTGTACAGAAAATTCGATTGCTCAGGCAATTATCTAAAAACTGCATGCATATCAAACACACACTGTGGATTCACTTACAAAAAAACTGCTCCACAAGGGAACGGTCGATTCAGAATTAAAAGCTTTTTTAGTTTTAGAAATCCTATCAACTCATTTCTGGTCCCAGGAAACATGTATGTGCTGGTACCTTACAAATTTGTTTAGGCAGGAACGGTAAAGTAAACTTGGTCTCCCAAAGCCCCTCTTGTATGGCGCTAACGTAGAGAAAAACATTATATACTGTACGCATGGTGCTTCTCACTAGCTACCCACTATATGCACAATACAGTCACAAACAAACTTCTTGACCAGATCCTGTGAAACTGAGCATATGATTCACAGTGGGCTGGTTAAGAAACTCCCTGTGGTGCAGCAGGATATAAGTGATTGTGGTATATAATATATGTACTGTGTTGACTGCCCTAACAGAGCAGCCGAATAGACTAATACACTCATGTAATCAGATGTTTAGTTAGTAATGTATCAAAGGTGCTTATAGACATGCAAAAAGATCAGCAAACACTGCAATGGGCTGTTTGTTTTGATTAATAAAAGCAAATTATAAAACCACATCAGGTAACCATGCTGAGAGTATAACTGCTGTCATTTTAAGGAGATTTTTCCGTTTAACCCCCAGTCTCTGGTGCATCTTACTGTTGAAAGGAGAACACAGAATTGAGACAATGTTATTGTCCCACTGTGAACAAATTATGGAAACTGGAGAAATTTGAGGATTTAAATGCTTACATCACCAGCTACCATCCATGTACTAACCAGGCCTGACTCTGCAGAGCTTCTTTGATCACACTGAGAACAGGCTTGGGTAGAGTAAACACCCTAGTGAGATCTAAAAAGCTGTTAAGGACATTCTGGCAGTGCACAAGTCTAGTATGGAATTTAACAAGGGTTCAAAAGTTGCTAAAAATAATCTATTCCATGATGGAATTTTTTTTTTCACGTGGAGGGCATTCGGATCATTTGCCAACATGCCCAGGTCTGTCAGATGGAGTGGATAGATGTTTCAGTTTGACAAAGCAGTTTGACCAGCCTGTTGACAGTAAAATCATTTTAATGGTACATCCCCACAAAATGATTCCTGCTATTTTTATTTTTCTGTCTGACCAGAACTCAAAACTCCATGGAAAGACCAGAGCATGGTCAATAGAGGTAAGGTGAGGAGGAGTGGTGGAGCTCAGACAGGAGCAGGGAAGATTGGAGGAAGAAGCCTTGCAAAAATTACCCAAGCAGGGTGGAGGCAGTCGGCAATGCCTCGCCCTGCAGCTAGGGGAGGAAATATGGAGAGTAGACAGAAAAACTGAGCAGAGAGTCCGGCAGAGGCTGTGGTAAGATGGGATCAGCTTTGAAGATCAGGGTGACAGCCTTAGGGTCAAATGAGACACCTAACAGAGAGAATAGCACCTTGGTGGGTCCATCTTTATGGTGAAACAGCTTTGTCTTCGCTTCGCACTTTCACCTTACATCCAAACCACATCCGGTTCCTGTTTGGTCGTCACAACACAACCTAACAAATAAGCTCGTCGTACTCGTACTCGTACTTGTCGTCTCCCACTTTATCCGAAACCGGGTCGCGGGGGCAGCAGACTAAGCAGAGACTCCCAGACTTCCCTCTCTGCCGACACCTCCTCTAGCTCTGTTGGGGGAAGCCCTAGGCGCTCCCAGGCCAGTCGAGAGACATAGTCTCTCCAGCGTGTCCTGGGTCGTCCCCTGGGCCTCCTCCCTGTGGGATGTGCCTGGAACACCTCCCGAGGGAGGCGTCCAGGGGGCATCTGAAGAAGATGTCCGAGCCACCTCAACTGACGCCTCTTGATGTGGAGGAGAACCGGCTCTACACTGAGCCTCTCCCGAATGACCGAGCTCCTCACCCTATCTCTAAGGGAGAGCCCAGCCACCCTGCGGATAAAGCTCATTTCAGCCGCTTGTATCCGGGATCTCGTTCTTTCGGTCATGATCCAAATTTAATGACCATAGGTGGGTGTAGGAACGTAGACCGACCGGTAAATGGAGAGCTTTGCCTTTTTGCTCAGCTCTCTCTTCACCACGACAGACCGGTGCAGCGTCTGCATTATTGCAGCAGCCGCACCGATCCGTCTATCGATCTCAAATAAGCTCAGATTTTTTAACTCACTGTACTGTTATTACAATTTTTGCTTCCCTGTCATCACCATCATTTTGTCATTTGCATCACTAGAAGCATGTCCTTAACATCACTTTGCATTACTGCACTCATGAATGCAACTCTTAATGGGGATAACATGTAAATCACTAACTCCAGCTGCTTGAATTGCATTTGGAGTGAACGCATAGAATTAAGGATAAAAAAACAACAACAAACTTAACATGAGATTCTGTAGTTTGCTAGTCATATCACAGGACCTGTGATGGACTAGCAAACTGTCTGGTTCTCCAAACACTGGAATTCCTCATCTTTGTCCTTATTTGACCTGAAAATCATGTTGCGTATTATAATTGGATCATAGGTGCTGTCCAAATTTAGGCCAAACAGAAATGTTGAGAGTCAGGCCTGGTAAGACCATTTCATCAACCTGATGCACCTCCAATCACAATAAGATATTGATGGAGATGTTTTTCGCAGATCAGGTTTAACTTTTTACTTTTTTATTTTTGAATTCTTTTAGACTATACCAATTCAACAAAAGCATGTTCTCCTCAGATGATCGAGCATCTCACCTTATCTCTATTGCATATTGCAGGTATAGAACAAAAGCTTAGCTTTAGCTGCTTATATACATAATTCTTTCTCTATATATAGACAATTAATGCAGGGTTTCGAACATGAATGGACCTGTAAATGAAAAGCTTCACTTTTTGTCCCAGATACTTCTTCACCACAGCAGGTCCAAGCCATGCTTTCTATCTCAAGGTCCTTCCTACCATAACTCATGAGCCTGACATCAAGACACTAAAACTCTTCCTCGTGAGGCAAAGACTGAGACAAGTCTACTGATTAAAGTTGCTGCAGGAAAACCCAGGAAGACCTTCTTCAGGGTCAGTATGCATTATAAATCAAGGATGCAGAATTTGCTGCTTTGAATTCTTTAAAGGATGGAGTGCAAGATGAGGAAGCTCTTCAAGCAGAACAGACTGTTGACATTTAGCATTTTGGCCTCCCACTGAGGGAACCGTGGCTGAATGTATAAGGCAGAAGAAGAAAACACCACTAAGTCAAAAATGTGCTTGTGATAAAAATGTCTGGAAAAGCTGCTACTTAAAACAAACAGAGAGCAATGTCAGGGGGACGTTCTCAACAGTTTCAGAGATTAAAAAATAACAAAAGATGCAACAATCTGAGCAACATCCATGACTTCTTCAGTAGTGTTTGAGTGAGAGTCGGTCAATTTTATGCTGCTCAAAGGTACCTTTATTGACAACAGGAAAAAAACAGCAAGCTGAACTCAGAAGCTGGCCTCGGAGGACTTGGCTTGACATAGAAATTTATAGTCATATTCAATGTGTTTTTCCATTAGACTTCCTGCCCTGTTAGCCATGGAAGGCTTTTCTGTAGCTGCATCCTGGATAAATTCTACATAAACTTCAACCCAAAGAAAAAAATGAAATAAACAAAAAAGAAAATTGCAAAAGAAAGAACACCTGATGAAGACCTAGAAGACAGACAATGCGAATTGCATGCCCATTACAAAATAGTAAAAGAAAAGTCACTTAGAAACCTCTATACAAGTAATTGTAATATTTTATTACATTATCAAGAGGGAAAGAACGCAAGAAACAAACAAAAAGTATTCTGATTTGTTTGCTGTTTACCAGTCAATGACTACTTTTCCATGCTCTGGAGAAAGCGGCTTCAGGTGACCTTTAAGTCAATGTTTAGTCTTATTTAAACCAGAGTCTTATTTAGTCAATGGGTTTAATAAAAACAAAAACAATTTAATATTTCAATACTACTTAATAAAAACTTTGGTACTGTATAGTTATGTTGGATTCACACATTTGATTGTCAATTTTGATCATCTAGTTAGCTATTTTAAGAGTAAACTATTTTTGAACTTTTTTCAGCTTTGCGGAATTTTAATAAAAATTTGCAACATTGATACTACATTTATCCCATTAGTCACTGGTTGGATGTATGCTTTGTAGAGATGTTTAAATCTGGACAAGGTTCTAAAAAAATATTTCAAACCTTGATTATCCCCTAGAGCTCTATTTTATCCATCATCTGCACATGGAAAGAGGATAGATCAAATGCAGACCTAACAAGACATGGAGGTCCACCTAAAATGACAGGATAGGCAAGTATAGCATTGATTAACAGCTCTATATTACAATGTTATCAGGGTACCATTAATTTATTGAAGTGCTGGATAAATGCATAAAGGGAGAAAATGCATGGATGTGTCAAATTGCAGCCCTGGTAAATGCAGAAGCAATCAAAATTTGCAGCACAACTTAATTTACTCCAGCAAAAAAACTCTGATAAGGCCCAGCATGTGGGTGTAGCGATGGACTTAGACCTGAACCTTCAGAGGCCCTTAAAGCAACAAAGCTGGCCTTCTATCACCTGAAGAACTTTTCCTAGATGACTAATATAAAAAATAAAAAAAATCACTTGTGTAGTTATGTTTATTTACAATGTTGTCTTTGGAGGTCTGCCTAAAAAGTAGATCCAACAGCTGAGCTTATTCCATTATGTTGCTGCCCTCGTTCTCATTAGAATTAAAAAAGGAGAGCACATCACATCATCTAAGTTCTAAAGTATGTACATTAGCTCCCCATTTAACAGAGAATAGACTTAATAATACTTCTGTTAGTTTGTTATTCACCATTTAGATTAGCACCAACTTATATTACAGTCTTGTTATCAGTGTATCGACCAACCAGAAATCCCAGGCTTAAGTTTACTCTGTAA